ATTTTTTTGGTTTTGAACAGTTTCTCTGTTTTATGACCTTCGCCACATTTGACATAAACCGGTTTTTTGTGACAAAAATTGAGGGTATGTAAAAAGGATTGACAATTTTTACACTGTGGCACTTCTTTTTTTTTTCTTGGAGGTTCGACTTTAATTTTGTGGTAGCAAAGACTGTCTACTCCAAAGATATCTTTGTTATTTGCTTGCGGATCTAGGTCCACAAAAAACAAAGGTAGTTTTATATACTTCCATTTGCTGTTTTTTTCATTTGGGTTAAGTTTCTTTTTAATTTGGATATTCGAAACCTCGACTGCAGAATGACCTAGGTCGGCAAGGTCTCTTTTGATCTCGCAGATATCAGTATCTGGATGTAAACCGCGTAATACAACACGACATTTTTTTTTCCGTTTTTAGCTGATATCTGTGATACTCAATTTTGTTTTCGTCTAAAATTTTTAATGTGCGTCTGAATTGGTGTTCATCGCCTGTTAGGATTTTTATGTCACCGTTAGCATTTGTTTTTAGCTGTTGCTCGTGACCAGCAGCTTCTTCGCGTGTTAAACAACTAATTAAATGTTGTATATTTTGAACACCACAAGCCGTAATCGGTGGTGGTTTGTATATTTTGGGCACAGTTTTAACAGAAGTGTTTTCTCCCAATTTTGTGCGTTTTTTCTGCGGGCTATAACTAGCACCTGAGCTAGAACCCGTTTCTTCATGTAACTCTATATGACTAGAGTTTTTATTTGTATTAGTATTATTTATTTTACTCACTTGGAAGTCTAACAATTGGCTCTGCAATTGTGCGATATTCGCTTGTAGATCTAATACCATTTTTTTTAAACTTTCGTTTTCATTTTGTATTCCATTTAAAATTGCTTGGTCAATAACAATTTGATTTGGCGCCGTGTAAACATTGCCTGGCTGATTAGTAGAATTCATTGCAAAACGACGTACAAGCCACCGTTTGCGCGTGACCTAGTTAATTTATGATAAAACACTTAACACTCTTCCGTTGTTAGCGAAAACATTTTTCATGATATCATTATTATTGATTAAATTATTCCCTCAAACACACTAAAGTAGCTTTTGCCATCACCTCATATTACAATGACGACATCATTTAAGGGGTCTTAAAATTAAATTACAAAAACGGGTTGTAAACAGACGTTTGAAAATTGAGGGAGCAAGTAAATTATACAACTTCATCACCGCTTACCGTTTGGCCACAATTAAATTAGTTATTTTGAAACTTGCTAACTAAATCAAATACTAATTATTTTGCTCCCTCCGACAATAATTTAATAAACATAGCAATTAAATAAATAATTAATAGTGAACGAAATGGCCAGTACGATTTTGTTATTTTATTTTGAACTTTTATTAATGAGCAAAATGAAAGTACTCGATTACGGAATGATTCATTAAGGAAAATGTCAGTCATTTTCTTGGTAAATAATTACAGACTTTTGTTTTTTATTTATGTTGTTGTAAAATTTTATAAAATTAACAAATATTTGCCTTATTTATCCCGCCCTAAATATTAAACTTTAATAACTTTAAAAGTACTGACTCAAAAACTGATATCGACCATTAAAAATGTTCAGCAAATATTCTTAATGACATTCATTTTCATTAAGTTTCTAAAAAAAAAAACTACAAATTTCAACTATATTGAGATAAATAAGTATTTTCTCCTTAAAAACTCATCCTGTATAATATTCATTTGTGTTTTTTTCTTACTTAAACTCTTTTGAAAACAAAATTTATAATATAAAAGATATTATGCCAAAAAATAATATCATCATCATCATTTAGCTTAACGGGCCATAAAGGCCCAACGCTACCATCATGAGATGGTTTCTTTGTGAAATCGCTATCCGGGACTGGTCGTTTTACCCACTCGGCCATTCCTCCTTCTCAAAAAATAATATATTGTCAATAAAACACAAATTCATGAATATAAATATCATTTTTAGTCAGATATTTAATAGTGAAAGTACAGTTTTTCAAACTATTTTACAGTTAGTTCTTATTTTTATCGTATTGCACTTGTTTTTTTATTATTTCTTTACTTATAACATATCTAATATAGATTGAGCCAACTGAACTTTTTATTTTATTTTAATGATACGTAATTTCAAAATTATAAATAATGTTTTGTTATTCGTGGTTAATGTTTAAATTAAATAGTCAATAAATAAAGCGACAAGAACCAAAGAACATAAGTAAAATACTTTTCAAAAAGAAATTTTTGATCATACAGTATTTATAAAGAAGACGTTTATTATTTGTGTTGTTTTATAATTATTCTTGCATTTTTAAAAAGAGATATTAAATAAAACTAATAAACATCATCCATAAGAACACTTTATTTAATTATTCTCTCCTGTAAAATGTACAAATCACTCATACGCGTTAGATTCTCGTCACTTCAAGGTAACAATACCGTTGAGACGGGTTATTCACTACATTTGTTTTAATCTTCTATACAAAAATAACTGAGTAAAATAATTACCCTAAAAAATTGCGTTTTGTTGAAATATACTTTTTACATTCAAATAAATACCTAATTTGTATAAAAGTCATTATTAAAGCCTTATCCTTTTTGGTAATAAATCAATTTATAAGATGCGTATGGTTAGACTAGAAAAATGAAGGTTAAGACATTGGAGAAGATCGTTTGAGTGTAAGTATGTAGGTTTAGTACAGAAAACAATACTTCAGAGTTAAGGTTAAGCTATAGTAGTTTTAGAAATTGAAGTAGAAAACCTGCGGTGTTTTAAAAAAAGAGTAGAGTATGTAGAGTTGAACGTTTTAAGTATTTGCTAATTGGGAATACTCAAGAGAATGATGTAATTTAATCGAAGATATTACGAGTAAACTAAAATAAATCGTGTGGTCTGATGTTATAGAAGAAGGTAACAGGTGTGTTGTATAACAAAGAAAAACTGACACTTAGGGTGCAAGAATAGGTGTAAAAAACTATAGTGAGGTCAAAAATTATGTTTTGGATAAATGAAAAACGATAAGAAAATGTATAGATGGATATAAGTACTGTAAAAGTGATAAATGAGACAATCTGTATTTGAATGTTTTGTAAAAAAAAAGCATCTTACTCTGTTTTAACAATTTACATTATAGACATTTTATGGGCCATCCTGATTAAAATGTTTAAATAATTACAGATTTATAATACGAATATTAAACTATATGAAAATGAATTATAATTATTATTACAAATTTGTTTTTCGGTTGATAGGATAGAGAGTTTGTGGAACTAGAAGTGCCATATAATGTTCAGTCAAAAAGGCCGTGTTCGCCATCTCCCCTACTGAGCCCAAGCCATTCGGCACTAAGCAGGGTGAACTTCCTAAGCTCGTGCTGTACAAGATGCTGTAATCCACGGTATCAGGTTTGTTAGTTTCTATATTCCATACATGCGACACGTTGAGTGGAGCTATTCAACGTGGGTATAATAAGTAGAGTATATAATATGTATATTTTTCATAATGGTTGTTAGTCAATTTAGATACTTAATGTAGTTAAAACTATTATCTTATTGTAGCTCGCTAAATTAACTACTAATTCTGTAGCTGAGAATCAACTCAATCAGTTCTTAGTCATTTTATTCTAGTTTTTAATTTGAATTACACAGTTTATTATAGAGGGGGGTATAAATTACGATGGAAATAAAACGTAACGCATATGTACATTTCAAGTAATCTAATACTACCCGAATAATATTTTATCGACTAATCTTAGTAGGCTACATTAATTCGAAAATAAAATGTTTGCTTGAATATGTATGTACTGTACTGACAGCATAACCTTGAGAGCACACAGCTTTATGGTTTACAAAAATGTTTTAAGAGTTCACCTTGGTTATTGATTTCAGTTTGGCTTCTTCCATTTTTTTCACCATATGGAATTTTGTCGAATTATTCGTTTTTATGCTATAACATATCGTGTCCAATATCTTAGTGTACGTAACATTCGATTACAGGATGTTGTATAAGGCTGTAGCAGCCACTAAAAGAGTTTTATAATTACTTTCTTATGGATATATTTATTAGAGACCACTGTATTATGATCTACATTTACATAATTTGTATGCAATATTGTTACGCTTTATTTCTTTAACCACAGCTTGGTCTGTATACAAGCTATAACGACTTTAACAGCTGAAGATTGCTTCTGGTCTCTTGTTCGCCATAGTTCAAGGCTTTATTGTAATCGATGTCATTAATCTAGTTATTGTCTAGGCACTAATTAGTAAACCTAGTAAACCTTATAATATATAGTTTAGAATCTATGCATGTAAGTACCCGGCTGTATAAAATATGGCCTCAACGATAGCGTGTATACCGTATTGTGTATTATTAATGGAAACCTAACACTAATGGCACGACTCTGGCCCAGAAACATTGACCGTGGTTTTTGTAAATACACATCTACGGTGTACGACCAAAAGAGACCTCTCGGCCGGTCTGATTACGGACACGATTCCTCTCCTCTACCGCCCCCAACACACTGACACACACACTCGCCGCTCAAAAGTAGTTTTGTTCTACTAGTCTTTATATACTGTATATATATTAATACTTTTAACACAAACGATATTATATTATATTATTGTATTGTCATCATTGTTATCGTTTAATTAGCACTTAACCACGCGGTCCGGTATTAAAAAGCTTGTGCCGTACGCTGAAACATGTTGTACTGACACAGCTATAATAAAATCAGTGACGCAACTAGGGGGGGGGCTTAGCCCCTTCTGACTAAAATTTAGTTTGAAAACGTGTGATGGTATGTATGTAGGGTTGACCCCCACGGCTTATTGGTAGTCCACAGTTTTGGTGAGGACTGTTGACTCCCCCCTCCCCCAGAATTTTAACCCTAGTTGCGACTGTATAATTAAAATTTTGTATTTTTTTTTTTTTTTTGATTGGGAAAACTAAAAATATTTGCAATAATCCTAGTTGGACGTTTTTCAGATGCACGACCGAGAGGGCTCGCCGGATTCAGCGGCCGAACCGGTCGCGAGGGAGACGCTGGTGGAAGTGCACGTGAACAGTGCTCAGGCCATGTCAGTCGGCATGTCGAGTAACTCTCTGGAGTACAACAGCTGTGACATGGCGTTATCGAACAAGGACACTCCCGTGGCGAGTACCAGCGGATCCGGCGGCGGCGGCGGCTTCGGCGGCTGTGCGAGCAGCGATGCGGACAACATCGACGTCGGCGGCGGAATCGGTTCCGTCCCCATGGTGAACATGGCTCCAGCGACCCGCCAACCCAACATCGGCAATTCGTCCGTGGTAGTCAACATACCCGAGTCCTATCCCAACTCGGACGCCGAGTATGGCACGGCTTCCTACCCGCCGTCCCCGTCCATTACGGCTGCCGATGCCGACAGATCGGATGTGCGCATCACGTTCCTCTAGTGCGTCTAAACGTTTTTTATTTATTTATTTGTTTGTCTTATATTTATTAATTGTTTCAATAGACTTAAGTGTAGCGCGTTGTGAATACCATTTTAAATATATATATTATTCAATTACTATATACAACCCCCCTTGCCTCCCCGACCGCTACAGTCGCCGGGTAACATCTAATACCCGTATAATCTGCACGTCGAGAGCGCGTTCAACCATTTTGCCGCTATACCCGACCTGTAATAACATTACTGAACCGGCCTGCCCGCACAAATAACAATAACAAACAAACATAGTAATAATAATCAAATTATAATATTGTACGTGTGTTGAGTAAGGAAACGGGCGATAAAACTCCTTCTTGGAAAACTAATCCTAGGCGGTAGGGAGCAGAGGATCTGCACTGTACGAGAAAAGCGATTCGGCTACGGCACATTATTATTAGTTCTTACTATTACAATTACAATGTTGAAGCAATGACCGGATTACTAACCAAAAAAACCCATTAAAAAACAAACCTATACTACATTAATCATTATAAATTAAGATGTGTATATATTACGATATTACGATGATATATACATATATATATCATCGTGTCAAAAAAAAATTGTTTAAATTTTTCAAAAAATACATAGCTTAAATATTATTTGTAAAACATTTCATTATTTCAATTATACGAATTAACTATAAAATTAATATCGTGAATATTCAACTAAGAAAATGTTAGTATACTTAACATCTGCCTATGAAAATACATTCGCATAGGCAATTTTATTTTAAAAAAAAATGTTTGAAGTTTATTGTTATTGTAATTATCGTATGTAAACTATGTGCACATTAAAACTCATATCATTTTAAGCCATTAAACGTGTGAAGTATTTTTTATAGATAAATGTTATGTTTTTTTTGGAAAATGCATATTATAATAATAAAAACAATTACTTACTTATATTACGTTGATTCTTTTAGTCGTATTGTGTCGGTTGAAAAAATTTCATCTCTTTGATTTTTTAATTAATTAAAAATTGGTCGATTTTTCAGTATTTTAGCGAATTTATAACAAGTATTTATCTTAACTTATACAAAGTAAAATTTTTGGTTAAAAAAATTGTATTTACTATTTTTAAGAGTAATTTCATTCGATTGGTCAATGGAAAACCGGGCATGGTGCCACATAAACCATGTCGCTTCTCTAATTTAACGCCCTCGGCGTGCATACCTAATACAATATGTATGTATATAATTACACTATTATTATGTACATAAGTTATTTTATAGTGTAACACCTGTTATCGTCAACACTCTGGCATCAGTTATTGTCTTAACGTTATTATTATTATTTATTATAACTAAGTATTAATAACAGTAGTAATAATAACTATTATATACTATTGGCTGTCCAATTATTTTTTTGTAATTATATTACATTTTTTTTGTTGTTGTTGTTATTATTATTATTATTATTAGGTCCGTATAATTGTAATAAGATCTTATAATATGCCAAATAATATTTGATAGTTACCCGCTACATAGCTATTATATAATGAGTAATTTGCAGACGGATGAAAAAAACAATACTTGTTATGTGTTAATGTGTGTTCCGCTATTATGTATGTTCTTCGAAACAAATACAAACTATAGTAAATAATAATATTCCCCGTGAAACAACTGTAACAAAATACTTTCCTTGTTTAACCTTACCGAAAATGATAACTACAACAATTTTCTGTCCATCAGAGACTACATAATTTTCAACACTTTCAGACATATTACACTTGAAGTAGTACACATACTTGTGGGTTTTCCGCAGTAAAAATATAATGCTATATATTATAACTAAATGAATAGAGGCAAATTTTTCACTTTTTATTCTTTTATCTATACAGGACACATTTTTCAAAAATCTCAACAACGTTCAACTACTTGCTGAAAACCTACACCTGCTATCGATATTATTTTTAAAATAACTATAAACCTTACCTTCACTATAAATTGTATATTACCATGTCTTGTAGTACCGCATAATATACAAAGTTGACAAAATCGGGTTTTTGGTTTGATTGTAATTATTAACTGCCACGTTTATGTGCTGTCGTTAATTTGCATTAAATTAATCCTAGTTATGTTATTGTGCATTAGCATTTGGGAAATATTTTATCCCAGAGTTATATTTAATGTAATTAGATGAATTTAATTCAATAGTTAGTTCCCATTAAGCGAATGCTCATTAACGACTGTATATAAACGTCGTAATTGTATCAACTAAAGTAATAGTAATAAACAATTTCATATTAGATATTTAATTCTTCTATACGAATAATGACACCAATATAATAATAATAACAACAACAAAAACACTGAAGAAGTGTTACAATGAACAAATTCTAAATTGTTTTTTTTTTTTACCTAATTAAGATAAAGAATCATAATGTACTTGGCCATATCTTCTTATTGTTGTTCAATTTTGCTGTCGGAGCTATTTTAAGTATTTTAGTGCTCGACTGCTGGAACAATATTTTTAATACTATGTATAATTATTGATTAAAATATATTTAGCTATACGAATTTTGAACTAAAAAAACATTCAAATAATTAATAGTAATAACAAATATAACATAATATTGTGTATTATAAAAAAAAAAATATCATTATCCACGTGTATTGTATTTAAACTTAGTTTTTTTTTTATTACTCGCGCTAACTCAATAGTAGATTTTAAAATATTTAAGCACATAAATATACACAATATATATTTATTATATTTATATATTGATAAGCGTAACGATCGCGAATACTATTTTATAATTTTTACATACGTACTTCCTTCCTTTCTCTTTTATTTAACCGAAGACCGTTAGCGTTCGGTTGTGGTCGACAAATTTATAATAATTTTGATAATAATGTATAATATCATCACCGATAGGTATCGTTTTTCCAATGAAGAACTTTTAAAATACATCTTATTATAGTTAAATTTGTTGTTATTTTAGATTCGTATATATATTTATTAGAATGATAGTACATAATATTTCATTGCCATTACATAATTTACAAAAGTGTGTTATATAAAGTGGACTTCGAATAATTGTATTTAATATATTTAATAATAATGTTAAACAAAAGTACTGTTGAATAAAACTCTTTAATTATTTTTTTTTTTTTTTGAAAATTCGCTACCTATTGTTGTATTTATTAATTATGTAAAACTTTTAAGACTAAATGATAGTATTTAATGCACAATGTATTTAACACATTGTGTGTCTTTTTTACTGCAAATTAGTACTTTCTTGTACTGTAGATTTTATTTAACTCCGCGGAATATTTCTGTCCGCAAACGCGTTATTATTATAACACAACTATTGTTATTATTATTGTATATTCCAATTGTACTTCTAAAGTTATTCTGGCTAACGTTCAACGCAATTTTATTTAAAAGCCACTGATAATTAATAATGATGATGGGCAACTACAAAAGTATATCACAATGGGTACTTTGGAAAGTTGTTTTTGCAGCCTACATAAAAAATGGTATCTAATTATATTTCCTTTAATAACAAAAGTTGGTCAGAATAGTCGGAGAAAATTGTTTTAAAATATGTATTTACAATCTTCGGAAAGTTTTACACATTGTTAAGCTATAATTCCCGCCGCTAATTATTTGGATCTATATTTGTTTGCTTTATTTAATTATTCATTGAATTATATCTTATACAATTGAGTGAAAATGTAACGGTCGCCTTCGACAATACCCAATTGTGTTTTTCCAAACTTAAACACTGTTTGGAATGTTTTGTTTCACCAATCGATGGTCTATTATATATTATAGATAAATTTATATACACTGTATAAGCATAAAAATGCGGTTGTCTCCCCCGACCAACTCCCATATTTATATAATGAACAAACAACAATTCATAATAATTATCTTAACATAACAATTAAATGACTTACCTAGATTGATTTTGAAAACGCAGTGTTAGAATTGGTTATTTCATTTTTAATAAAAGAAATCTTTAAAATCATATATTAGGCATACGTTTTAGTTTATTTATTACCTTTGTTGTTCCTAAATTACACATATGGATTATATTTGTCACAAGTGGCAAGTATGGGTATGTGTGTGTGTATATATATATATATATATATATATATATATAAATATACAACTCTAAAGTCTTAATAGCGAAAAACATGTACATACAATCTAAAATAGATACTAATATAATATTAAAAACTGAAGATGAGCCCCCATTGTAAACCAGCAGGTTTCGCATATTTTGCCAAAAAAAAAACCACTTTTCAGCTTGAATAAACAAAATGCTTTTTGTTCGCCAACATATACTTTCTAGCTTTTGTAAGGAGCATTTTACTGCAGTAGTTAAGCCAGACTACAATGAAAATAAGTTGTACATAACAAAATTGGGACTTTTTTGAAATTTGTTTTTTAACCGACTGGATAATTTTGATAAGTTTTTTCATCAATTAATCTAAATTTTACTTTAATTTATTAGCTAATTATAGACATCAGTAGTACTTATCTTTGTTTTTCCTTTTTTTTTATTTAGTAAAATTAGGTATATTATTACCTATTTATTAAACAATTTAATCTCATTATAGCCTCTACGGCAAGAGTATATACATAATACAGTGCAAACAATAAGTTGAGAGTATGAATTATAAGCATTTTACATATAAATTAAGTATCCACAAACAATAATACGTTATTATTATAGACGGAGAAGTGGTGACATTTTTTCCCGATATGCGAATTACCGCTAACTTCCGCCGTTATAGATAGAAATTAGAAGTTAAATGCTCTGAACATGCAAATATTTTTTATATGAGTTTTGGGCCTTTTTTTTAATGTTAATTACAATATTATATATAATAATAATAATAATTTATTATTAAACTATATATTGAAAGTTGAAAATAGCCGTGTATATTTTTAAACAATTTTTTTCATTTGTGAAATTTAAATAAATTCAAATATAGGAAACTGTAAATTTAACTCTAGTTTATAAATTTTTAATTTATATCTAACTAACAACTTCGAAGGTTTCTGAATTCTGAATGTCCACTGATTAAATTTGTATAATAGGTAAACGAAAAAAGTGGAATGTAAAAGTTTTAGAAGTATTTTTGATACTTACCTTAAGACCCGTCATGACATGTGTTAGAGTTAAAGAAATGGCTCCTAAGGAAACCATTTGTTGCTGCATTTAAAGCTTTCGATAAAAACTGAAGTAACATTTAAAAATTTATATTTATTTCTAATACTCATACTTGGAGCTTCAAATATTAGATTGAAACTATTAGGTAATAACTAATAAGCATTTACATGTAATGATTATATTGTGTGCACTAAATCACATACTTGCACACAATAAAATAATGTCATTTTACATAATATAAGTTATATATTCTATAATCAATTGTATGCACAAATACTAATATCGCACACAATTATCAATTATTTATATATCATTTTTAGTATATTTTTTTTTTTTTTACATACAAATATTTAAATATCAAATATTTTTTTTATTAAACCAACTCAAAATTAAGTCCGACCTCAAATGTTCAGTCATCATTATTGGTTATTGAAAATAATGAAAACATACTTTCTAGAATTGAAGGCTGGACAAGTTCATCTTGAGGGTTTTGTTTCGGCTAAAAGTTGTAAAGCAAACTGTACATTTGAAGGGCTTCCAGTAGGTATGTACGCGCTCTTATCTTACCAAATCAAATCTACCTGAAAAAGATCTCAGGCAGAAGTCACAACGAATGTGGCTTTACATTATGACATTTTGGATTTAATGACATAAAAATTAATAAAATCTATTCGGTGAATGTATGTGTTAAGTACTTAATTGTAATCACACCTTCAAAGTTCTTTCCTGAACAGCTGTATAAAGTCGATATACTAAAATTAGTTTCTAAGCCCCAGATTTTTTTAATATTTTTAAGTTCTAAGCAACATAAAAAATGCACAATACAAATTTTGTAATTTTTTTGACCAGTTCTGAACTCAAGAAAAATAACTTGTTTTGAGATATATATTTTTATAAAATGATTAAAACGTGCAGAATACGTTGAATGAACAACAATACATTTTTTTTTTAAATCTGGAAGCGGCTTTAAAATAAAGCCAACTACGAAATATTCAAAATAAATGATAGTAATAAAGTAAAAATAGTCTTTGAAACGTTAAGACCCCTGGATACCGACAGTTTTTTCAGCCATAGCACATCATTTTATGTTCATCGCACAGGCCGAACCAGCAGGGACGGCGCCAAGGGGAGGCGAGGGTGAGCGGTCGCCCCCTCATAACAAATTCTTGCCCTTCTCTCGCCCCCCAGATATTTTGCTAAATAGTATAATTTTAAATATTTGATTATTATTCCTAAGTAACTTTCCTAAAACCCAGATTTTGAATAACTGTATTTTTATATATACAAATTTAGTTATTACGGAAATTGTGAAAACAATTGTTGTTTTGATGTAAACCTGTTTATCTATACAAATTTAGTTATTAGTTATGACATTGCCACTAAATGTGGCCTTTTTTTATCAATATATTTTGAGTGTTTTTGCAATCGGTTATCAATAATCCGTCGCCCATATAATTATGTGTTTTGGTGTATATTTATATATATATATAATTATAATATTTACGTTTGTGTTTGTGTTTTCCAAAAATTTAGTGTTTATTGACGGATTGTTTTAGTTTAATAGAATGTAGGTATAACACGATAACTATAATCTCCACTGACGGGTTGTTAGGCGTTTTATAAGCCTTCATTTTTACTTCGACTTTCATAAATTACAATAAGAGCTATATGATGGCCGACAGGTAAAAATAACGCTTATTTAAAAAAGTTGCCTTACTTAAATTGTACACTAGTATATATTGTCCCTTAATCTGTAATAAATTCATATTTTATACTATTTCACTGATACATATTAAAGTCATTCACTGATAAATCATTATAATAGTTTTTTATTGACAGAAGTAGGTAAAATTATTGTGGTTGCCCCTCCAAAAAATTCACTTGACCTTTCCCGCCCCCCTAGGAAAAAAATTCTGGCGCCGTGCCTGCGAACCAGTGATCCGATAAGCAATCTAAAAACAGATATGAATTTGTCATGAAGTTAACTTGAGATCGGTCAGAATATTTTTTCAATTTTTATATTAAACCCTTTCCAAATTTAGTTTTACAACTTGAAATTTTATAAAATGTTCAAACATGTTTTATGCGTAGTAGGAAAAAGATATCAAAAAAGTACGCTGAATTAGTTTGCAATGAAAAATGTACTTATGATTATTTATTAGGTTATGACATAAAATTATTTAAAATAAATATTTGAAATTAAAAATTTCTTTTATCTAAACATTAGTTAACGAACACCTAATTTGTATCTAAACAACAAAATATTTAGTTTTGCTTGACATCTTTTATGAGATTAAGTAAGACAATATATCGTTAAAGTCTTGTAATTCTCCATTCGATCCATATTAATTAGTATAACTATAGAACTGTAAATTTGTAAATACTAAGATAGGGTTAGGTGGGGTAAGTGTGTTAAAATAGTTTAGCTTCGATGCAGGGCGGCGAAAGTATTGGTTTTACTCTGATGTAGGCTTTTTTTTTATCTGTATACACGTAACTTTTTAATACTGAACCAATTTCTTTTAGTAGCAACTTTATAAATCACAAATTTCATCTAGTTGGTACTTTATGGGGGTAAAAGTTGAAAAAGTTTAAATCTCCGCACTTGAAATTAAAAAAAAAAAACCTACGAGTTTTTAAGTTAGAACTTTTACTGGCTATAATTTCGAGAAAAAAAATTGAATCAAATTGAAATTTATAAGGAATATTTATTTGGTATGCCCGCACACGTCAGTTGTATCAAATTTAAGTTAAACCCATTTCCCAACCCCCTAGGGGGGGGTTCAAGTTTTTTTAGTTTTTAGCCGTAATTTTAGGACCTTTAAGTTGAAAATTTGTCAGTAGTTAGAACTCATATGTGTTCATAACATATTAAACGGAAAACAAATTCGGCACTACAATTTTTTTTTAATTGCTGGAAAACTGTGTTAACGCAAATTGCCTATATTTTAACAAAAACCCCAAAAATCTTAAAAAAAAAATTA